CTAAAAGGTTAGTGTTGTTTACGATATTATAACGACCTCAAAATTTACGAAATGCTGACTTTAAACGAGGCTGTCGAAACATATGGAGAAATGGTGTGCAATTTATTCATGAGATTGCTACCACGTGATTTATTTCTCATTTATATTCATAAGATATTGTATAAAGTTGAAATATTCTATTTCTAATTTTCTATATATCTTTATTAGGTCACCTGAGTAAACTCAGGTGACCTATTGCTATCCGTTTTCGTCCGTCGTCGTCCGTCGTTCGTCGTCCGTCGTGTGTTAACATTTGAACATTTTCAGCTTCTTCTCTGCAACCACTGAACCAATTTCAACCAAATTTGGCACAAAGCATTTAAGGGTGAAGGGGAACAAAAATTGTGAATTTCATGATCCCTGCCTCCCTGGGGCCCGAGGGGTGGGGCCAAAACCACTAAAATTAATGCAATCTTTAAAAATCTTCTTCTTTACTCCTGGACATCAAGCAGTCAAACTGTTTGCATGATTGTAATCAGCATTGAGTCCTCTACCAAAATTGTGAAATTCATGGCCCTGGGGTCAGGGGTTCTAGTGCTAGGGCGGGCTAAATAAGTATATAGTGAAAATGCATTATTTCTTTGGAAATCTTCTTCTCTACTCCTGGGTATTAAATAAACCAACTAAGTACATAGTTATGATGAGCAAGAGTGCCTCTACCAAAATTGTGAATTTTATGGCCCCAGGGTCAGGGGTTCTGGTGTTAGGGCGGGGCTCTATTGATTATATATAGTGAATATACATGATTTCTTTGAAAATCTTCTTCTCTGCCCCTGGGTATTAAATACACTAACTAAGTGCATAGTTATGATGAGCATGAGTGCCTCTACCAAAATTGTGAATTTTATGGCCCCAGGGTCAGGGGTTCTGGTGTTAGGGCGGGGCTCTATTGATTATATATAGTGAAAATACATGATTTCTTTGAAAATCTTCTTCTCTGCGCCTGGGTATTAAATATACTAACTAAGTGCATAGTTATGATGAGCATGAGTGCCTCTACCAAAATTGTGAATTTTATGGCCCCAGGGTCAAGGGTTCTTGTGGGGGGGGGGGGGGCTCTATTGATTATATAGTGAAAATACATGAATTCTTTGAAAATCTTCTACTCTGCTCCTAGGTATTAAATAAACCAACTATGTGCATAGTTATGATAAGCAAGAGTGCCTCAACCAAAATTGTGAATTTTATGGCCCCAGGGTCAAGGGTTCTGGTGTTAGGGCGGGGCTCTATAGATTATATATAGTAAAAATACATGAATTCTTTGAAAATCTTCTTCTCTGCTCCTAGGTATTAAATAAACTAACTAAGTGCATAGTTATGATGAGCAAGAGTGTTTTTACCAAAATTGTGAATTTTATGGCCCCAGGGTCAGGGTTTCTGGTGTTAGGGCAGGGCTCTATTGATTATACATTGAAAATACATGAACTCTTTGAAAATCTTCTTCTCTGCTCCTAGGAATTAAATAAACTAAGTACATAGTTATGATGAGCAAGAATGCCTCTTTTAAAATTATTAATTTTATGGCCCCAGGGTCAGGGGTTCTGGTGTTAGGGGGGTGGGGCTCAATTGATTATATAATGAAAATACATTAAATCTTTGAAAATTTTTTTCTTTGTCTCTGGGTATAAAGCAGATGAACTACCTTTATAGTTATGATGAGAAAGGGCCCTAATCTTGCAGAATTGTGAATTTCAAAGCCCCAGGGTCAGGGATGGGGTGGGGGCTCTACTTATATACTGAAAATGAATTTATTGTTTGAAATCTGCTCTTTTGTATTTATAAAACATTTATTTATTTTTTTTATATTAAGGGTGCCTTTTGAAATTTGTGCAATGTGTGGACCTAGGGTCAGGGGTTTATGACACAGTGTTAGGGGCACTACTGGTTAGTTGGAATGCATTTTTGTTCCCCTACCCTGCATATGGGTATTCAGTAACCAAGCTAAGCAACTGCTAAGTGTATTGGTATGATGATCAACGGTGCCTCTTTCAAAATTGTGAATGTCATATAGCATCTGGCTTAAAACATGAATCAAATTCAATAACTGGAAAATTGTTGCATAATGCTCAGGTGACCTATAAGGCCCGTGGGCCTCTTGTGTTAAAACTTAAACCTGCAAGCCTGTGTGTTTTTTGTATTTTGTTCAAGCCTCCGTCACAGTTATATACGAGGGTTGATTCAAAAGTAATGTCACAGTGTCCATGTCCTTTATATTTGGCGTCATATTATACAGTTATTGACTGGGTATGAGGGCAACATATGATTTGTTGGACCTGAAAGTAAAAATGTTGCCCGAGGCCGCAGGTCAATGGCAAAATTTTCACCTTCAGGTCCAACAAATCATATGTTGCCCGAATCCCAGTCTATAACTGTTTTGTTATACCCTTCACTGCTCACTTAAAACTGATCAATTTATTCAATACACGCTATATAATCAATTATTTTTATGGAAAATTATGGCTTCTTTAGTAAATTGAAAACATCAAGCTGAGAAAGAACAAAATCAATTATATGTCTATTGTATCACAAAAATTATTCATCACAAAACATACTCTTCCCTTCTTCCTAACCGTGCTGTTAGCAATAACTCTTGTAGCTCTTAACTTCGGCTATTTTCGCGTCGCCGATATTGAACGATGATTAATTACTTGTGACGTAACAGACGAGTGACGTTGCGGTCTAACAATTCTTATGTAAGACCGGTCAATAGTGACATTGTTAGACCGCAGTAATTAACAGTTCTTTTGTTGGACTTTTTATTAGTAATAAATATATAGAATGATATTTATAAGGGTATAACAATATCAAATGCAATATACCAAAAGATGCACAAATATAAATCTAATTAACACTGAAATTTTAATTTAATAATGTTTATTTGAATATATTTTATAGATGTTTAAAACATAGATCATAGTGGGTGTCGCCGCGTCACAACGGAACGTCACGTTTTAAAGTGTATTTTTTCTAAGGATGAAAAAGACAAACACATTTAAAAGATTCTAAAAAAGCACCTAATTTCCGAATTTTTTAAATACACCATTCTCGTCATTTTCTAGTCTTTAATTGAAAATTAAATGACGGCATTGGTATTTGTGATCATAAACATTGTTGTTTTACTCTGTTGAATTGAACAAATAAGGTATTGTCGAAATGGGGAAAAAAGGCTCGACGAGTTGCAATGCATTTTTGCTTCAAAATATGGGAATCATCACTAGCGACATTTTCATTAATCAATCAGACTTACAGAATAAAAAATGTAAATAAGAGACTTAATAGATGGTTTCAGCAATTTTGGGCGGGTGATTGGTCACTAAATGATTAGCAGAGGAAAAGAGGACCGAAAGATAGGAGATCGGACGGAAACGTTCAATGGTGTCTGAAGTTGTCAAAAAAGACAGACGTATAAAGTGACATGTGAATTTTTAAGTTTTTCTTATGCTACTATTCAAAAACAAATTGACAGAGGGCTTAATTATGAAAAGAGTAAGAGTATAATGGTACCAAGAATTCTTAAAGAAATTGGGATTGGTGAAAGTGTTTGCGAATCACAAATATTTTTTAAATTAAACGAAGGGGAAACGCTTAAAAGTGTGACGGTGTGTATCCGTCATATGACGTTATATTTAGGTGCGGCGACTACCATAAACATGCATTGTTTAAAATCTGATATTTTAAAAAATACACGTCATATTCCTTTGAATTTTTCAGGTCTGATTTGAAATAAATAAAGCTTCCAGCATATTTAATTTTGTTGCTTTACGTCGATTTATAGCAATTTTATCAAAGTTTTGACATTACTTTTGGATCAACCCTCGTAGCTAGAATTTTCTGATTAACAATTGACGACTCCGAATATCGTTTTTCCTACATATTTTAGGCCACCATAATGTAAAAAATTGCCGTAAGGGTTTTCAAATTAAAAAGGCGGTCGTAACTACTCATGGAACGGAAAATCTTGTGTATTTTATAAAAATATGCTCTCTTCTGTACCTTGAAATCGGTGGAAGAACTCCTGTCAACTTGCAATAAACACATTTCAACATCAAAAATGATAGAAACACCAATTCTGTACTCCTTCCTTCATTAAAACAATACAATCTCGCTTCCAATTTTCAAAACGAAAAGGCGGTTGCAACTTTCACTTTGGTATTTACAATCTTGTAATTTCCGGAAGAAAATAAAGGCAAGAATAAACCATCGGCGGAAGAACTTTATCCGAAATATAGGTAGGATATAAAAAAAATTGCGATTTTTTGCATTTTCTCTATATATTAACCTTTATGGAATCGGCAGCCATTATAGTTCCAAAATGGCTGATATGCAAAGGAGCAAAATGAACACTATTTCTCCAAATGATCCCTGTGACATAAACTCTTCAATGAAAAGCCTGCCTCGCTTTAAAAATTGATAGCGAAGAAGTTTGAAAAATTGTACATTCGGGAACCAGGATACAGTTTTGTAAGAAATAACGTTGGCAAAGCGAATCTTTAACAGCAGCTAAAACACACGGTCAAAAGTTGTTTTGCATTGCTTAACAAAGATCAATTTATCCAGCTGCTCACAAATGCTTAAATCAACTTTGAGATTTATTGAGAAATCCCACTTTTCGTTTCAGAACATGATGAACAGAGATTTAAGATATATATTTAAAATTGCATACTAGTGTACAAGCTAACTTTAATCCTTTAGATTTCGAAAAAGGTTAAAATGTTATCATTGTGATCTAGGAAATGCCATACACTGAAATTTTAAAACAGGCTTATTCATAGAAAAAAAAGGTCAACCTTGACCTAAGGCTTTCAGCTCATTTGGACTTGAAGTCAATACAAGATTTTTTTTTACAGGAAAAGAAATTCATGACCAAAAGTTTCATTGCAGAAGCTTACAGAAAAAAAAATGTATGTAAAAATGATTACATTTTCAAAAGCATTGGTAATCAAGCAATGACTACATTAAGTTCAAGTACCTACCACTAAAGGTATCCAGCAAACGCTGAATACTATTACAATGGACAACATTAACGTAACTATGTATGTTTCATCATTCTTCCTTCTCCTCCTTTCGAAATCATTCGATATTATGCAATCTTGTTTGTCATATTTACAGATTGAATAAATAACAGCTGTGTTTGCTATAACAGTAATTAACAGAATTAATAAACACAGGCTTGAGTAAACGTACGTGTTGATTCTATCCAAACAACGCTGGCTTGCAAAATTGATAAAACACCAAGTTCCGGGATAGTACATTTTAGCGGATCCAAATCCAAGCAATGGAAACGAAGCAATTATTGCCGAAAATATCCAAACTGCTAATAGTACCCTCTTAGTTTTATGATTTCCACGTCTGTAAGTTATTGGGTATCTAACCGCAAATAAACGGTCACAAGACATAGCACATACTATCATGGCGGATGATAGAAAAGAAAACGAGAATAGAAAAACGTCAAAGTAGCAAAATTTTTCAGGAAAATCGAATTCAAAATTAGAAGCATATCTAGTAACGGCTACGGGGTAGTGAAATAACAGTCCGCATAAATCTGTTATTGCCAGCGCAAACACATATTTATAGAATGCTCCCCATTTATGCGATTTGGAGTAACAGAAAAGCAGGATAAGAGCAAGAAGATTTCCGAAAATTCCGAAAGAACCTTGTAAAATCGGGGGCACTATACTCTCTGATAAAGATTCGTTCAAATTCCCGGTGTCACTAAAGTCCATCATCTCCATTTGCTTTTTGAATTTGAGTGAAACAATCTGATGAGCGATCAATACATTACCAATTTAACACAAGTTGTGAACACCGAGTACTCATGACGCTTAAAAAATCATTAATTACAAGCACCGTGCATATTTTTTTTCAATGATCAAACAACACGAGGTTAACTTCGATAACCTAATATGTTTTTGGTCAATAAAACTCCATAAATGGGACCAGTTATTGGGTGCAGATAACAAAAAAAATTATAGAACAAGGTGATAAATGACACTACGAGAATTTAATAACATGTATTTTAAGTATACGCAAACACCCCCATACCCAGAATTTTTAAATATATTTCATTTTTTTCTATTTTTGAAAGTGAAGCAGACTCATTACCATATAAATATAGATGAGCTATAACGCTAAAGACTGAAGTCATAATCAAGCCCAGATATAAATGAATGAACCAGTCCTTAAGTTTCTGAATTGATTAATAATTATGAATAGGAAGACTAAAAGCATGTATGATGGTTTGGGGGTTAGTCTCAATTCAGAATAGTTAATCAAGTCGGAATTTCAAAGATGAAAGAAAGTAGATAATAAAAGCTAAATTATTATAATAATAAAGGTACCTATTTCTTTACATCCTTGGCATAATGACTTTGGTAGAAGTTATATTTCGTACATTTATGTTCAGACTAGAAAAAAACAGGAAGCTTTGTATCAAAACCAATTTACAAACAATAAAACGACCTACGTACCACGAAAATTAATATGCATTCCCTGTAATCACCTAAAAATCTACTAATGGGCTTAAAACGACATATCTCTGATTTTGACGAAATTTTTACCATCGGTGCACCAATGGTGTCAGAAGTTTTTCACGTGTACCTGGTCGCCATGGAATTTGGCCTCTTGGGTCCCTATTTGACCAAATAATAAGAAAATTTAGAAAATCTAAATGCATTATTCTCTTAATCATGAATATTCAAACATGAAAAAATGTATCACCAGAATACATGAACATTTAATGTACATGTATACAGGGCAGATATTTTTTTCCAGAAACATTTCTACTTTGAAGAAATGGCCGTGCAGAATGATCTAGTTTAAGAAATTTTGATATTTTTCGAGATGTTTAAAGCTAAATTTTATAAAAGTTTTCTACGAATTAAAGAATAAAGGAAATATTCACATTTTTGTTTTCTTTAGATTTATTCATGTATGTGCATATAAATATATTTATATTCTTTAATGATAAATTTCATTTTCAGGTTTGATTTGACAAAAAGAATGCCCTGTTTTGGTGGCAACAAACCAGGAAGATGCTTGAATCGATTTTGTGAGAAATCTGATGGAAGGCCGAATTGTCGTTACATGTGACTAGGCCATGAAGTTTTTACCACAAAAATACCGAGAAGGACCATCTGATTGTTTTGCAAAGAGGAGCACATTTCGGTGTTGACATAAAGAGGGACACAATATCAAGAGTGAAACTCACGAAACATATTCTTATCACAAGCCATTATATCTGTCTTCACTGAATAATTTTTAAATAAAATTTCAGTCTTTTCTCAAAAAATGATACATTGTTATTATTCTATTTGCATAGATTTTCTCATATTCATTAGGTTGCCAAGGATGGAAATGTTACAGCATCTTTGATACAGGATACAGTGAAAGACAACAAATGATACCAGGTTTTTCAAGAAGTTCACCTGTTTTCTGACAACGCGGGTTGTACAAAAACACTTCCTTGCTTATCTCTTTAAAGAATTGTCTTGGACCCATCATCGAAACATACAACTTCTCAGAAACCAAAGATAGAAAAATGAATGGCATTCGATCTTTGTGAATTAGAGCCTTTTTTCTTTTGTTATTTATGTATGCATAGTTCATCTGTTCTGCTTTTTAAAAACAGGTCCGTGTGATCGAAGAGCTTCCCACATAAAATCCTCTGTAAAGCGATACATCAATGAAGGTCATGATGTTACATCAACCGATGAAATGAAACAGGTATTGTACTATAATTTTCAATGTCCAAAAAACCTTAAATTGAAATGAATCCATACTTTCAATTGTATTTCAGATGAAATCTTTCAAAGAGAGAAACGAACGAAGCGGGATGGATGTTTTGATTGTCCAAAGGATGGATGTACAAGGCCGTTTGCATCTCAGGGAGCAGTGGAATACCATTGAACAATTGGCAATTGTGATTATGATCATGGCTGGTCCATGCATGATAAAGCCAAATTGCTGTACGGTTCGAAGTTCAACTCTCTGTGAATACCTTTAACATATCAGCTTCATCTTTAAACAGTGTTGATGGTACCAGTGAAAAAAACAACACAAGGGTGGGCACTCAGAGAGAAGAGAAAATGGACTTCTTTCACCAAGACCCAAAAAAAGTTCCTGCATAGTAAACAAACAGGCATGCAACTGAAAAATGTTTTTCTTGCCTTTATCTTATTTGCATTGTCAAAAGAAGACATAGATATTGCATTTCAACAACTAATTACCAGCTTCAGTAGTTTATAAACCAAAACCTTAATTTAAAAATAACAAGAGATGTTTGTAAAACACTTATGCCCCTTCCCCAAATAATTGGAATTTTCGAAAGTCGAAGGGTTATAACTCTGTCCAAAATGGTTCGATCTTACCCAAAACAAAAGTTGAACTAGATATTCTTGTAATAAATTTGGATATCAAATATCATTTCAATATGATCAACCTCTGCGAAGAAGATGAACGGAAACTGCAAATTATTGGAATTTTTCTAAGTTCAAGGGGTATAACTCTGTCCAAAATCGTCCGATCATACCCAAATCAAAGCATCTAAATATTCTAATGTAAATCTGTATGTGACCAAGTGAAATAATGATGACACTGTAGGTTTCTATATTTATTCACAGAACATGTAAGGTGATTCTACAAAAACAAAATATAAGTAAATGTAAATATATACAATTTATACATAGTAATGCATTACGTATGACAAGAATATACATATCAAACTTTATTTCTGATAATCTTAGTCGTTTATTTACTAAGAAAATTGTAATTTAAAGTTATAAATATATAATAAAATACCTTGTGCGAGGTTGAAGTGTCTAATCAGGGCGCCGGATCTGCAGTAATTTGAATTTAGACTTGGCTAGCTTATATTACAAAAGAAACGATCTGATTTGATGGTTCATTATGATATTAGCCAATGAAAATTCGTAACCAATGGTAAATCAAAGAAAGTGTTCACCAACTCAATCCACCTGCGCACACAAACTAGTCTAACTTTACTCTCAAAGACATCGTTCGATTAGGTATTTAGAAACGTAGTTAAAATGCGAAATTTTAATAAATATAGTCAATCCGCCCACATGTATACCATATTTCATTTCAACAGGTGGTAACATATACAGAAATGAACCTTTTAACCCAAAAGATAAACATGCTGTGGCGTTGTATGCAGATACGGATTATTCCCCAAAACAAGCACTTTAATTTTCTAAACTCCTTGAGGAAAATCTTATCCACGACAAATGTTATTTAAAACCGAAGGGAATTCCTGAAAAATTCAATTTAAGAATGTGGTTTTCTCCAAAAGTGTAACATCGGGTTTTTCACGACAGATGAACAAAACACTCGTGATAAAGAAGTTTTAGACAAGTATGAATTATAAGTGTGGTGATTGTAATGTACAGCTGGTGTATACGAAATTAATATTTATATCGAAACAGACTCGTATATGATTGTGAATGAATTAATAAATGATGATTTGGAGTATGTTGTTATACAAATTCTTTTTGATAAATGACTGTTCTTTAAGAAGGTCAAAAATGGGAAAAAACAATAAAGAATATTTTATTTGTACCCCCACCCCTTTCAATAACTAAAGAGATAATAAACTTTTTGCGATTAAATATTCTTTTTAATAAATGACAGTTCATAAATAATATAAATGATAAAATATTTTACTTGTAACACCCCCTCCCCAAGAAAAAAAATAAAAATTTTAGAGATGTGAATTTTTAACGAGGAGACATGGTTGATATAGAATTTTTTGCTCTTGTAGTTTCAAATATCGTGTACATTTGCTAGAAAAACGTGAAAAATTACACAATATTTTTTACTTTACAGATGCTAAGGTGTCAGACGAAGAAAAAAGAGTCTATGGAGCTTGAGATCCAGAAAATATGCGCCGGACAATTACTGAAGTGAGATCAGGTTATTACTCTCTCCGAAAAGCCGCAGAGAAATATTCTGTTCCCTCATCAACTCTGAATGATAGAGTTAGTGGGAAAGTGAAAGAGGATGGGGTATGGGGATCAATCCCAAACTATCTCTAGATGATAAAAAAAGATTTCATAGAGACGGCAAAAGAAAGGGCGGCTCTAGGGATAGAATTTAGTAAATATAATTTTATGTGTGCAGCAAGTGCAATGGCAAAAGCAAAAAATGTCCCACTTAAAAATAAAAATCCCTCTGAAATGTGACACAAAAGACACAGCAGCTTTTCTTTAAGGTCACCAGAAGCTACTGCTTTAAGCAGACATGCTGCTATGACAAAGGAGAGAGTAGAAAAAAATTTCCTTGCACTCGGGAAAGTGCTAGATGAAAACAAATTATAGGCAGAACACATTTGGAACAAGGACGAAACCGGGCTTACTTTGGCCCACGTCAAGAAAAAATGTGGCAGAGAAGGGGTCAAAAGCTGTCCATGACAAATGTTCCACATTGCGACAACTTGTTACTGTAATTGTTTGCGCGAATGCAAATGGTTTTACAGTCCCACCTCATTTCATTTTTCCCGGCAAAATCAAACGAAGTCTGAATAGTTACGATTCTGAGTATTTGCAGACAACTCCGATTAAAAACGCAAATAGCACCCTGACAGAGTCTGGGTGGATTAAGGATGGTACATGTATAGGACGGTTGTGGTTTGAGTCAACATTTCTGCATTTCATTGGGCAACATCGCCCTCAACTACTTGTATGCGATGATCATAGTTCACACAACAACGTGGAGTTTA